AAAAAAAAAGGATTCTACTCTTTCACTTACTTTCATGGATCATGGATTACAATAACAAATTGGTTTGGGTGGGGTAGATAAAGAGAGTTTCATATTTACTAACCCTCCCAAAACTAAAGAGAAGGCGGGACAAAGAGCCCTCCTTTCCTACAAAATTAAACAACAACTACTACAGACAGACAGACAGACAGGAAAAGCTCTTAGCTTCCTGGAAAGGACACAATAATGCTAATTATGTAGTTGTCCTCTTCTGACCAAGAAGTTATTTGAAGTAGAAACCTGATGTGAATAAATAAAAGAAAAGATTGTTTGCTCTAACCTAAGGAATGTGGGAGGAGTTGCCATGCTCACATTTGTTTGAGATGAGCAATTTCATGGTCAAAAGGAATCCAAGGTAGATGGTCTGGCCCTCAGGTAGAAGATGAAAACTGTGCATAAATATTCAAGACAATAAATTCTGTCTTTAGAACTACGTATTCTTGAATGAAGTCCCTGTAGCTTCAAAGTAAATGTTAACTATAATAGCATTACAGTATCTATTTCTATTGCTGTCTCTTCAGAACATACACAATCATGGTTCTCCACAGCTTTCTGCCTTTTTTTGTTAACAATACTTGTTCATTTAAGACCCCACATTGTGGTACTTGTTCCTCCAAACATTTGCTCAAGATTAACACGTTGGTTACATTGCCTCTTGCCTGTTAGTGTTTAATTCTCTAAGGCTTTTATTGTATATGCCAAAGAGTTCAATTATCAATTTCTAAATATTAGCAACAATTTCTTTGTAGTTTCTATTTGCCATAGTGTAAAGGCTAGTAAGATAAGCTATGCCAAAATTAGCATTACATGCCTTTCTTCTAAAACAAAAATATATCAACATGAACCTGATGCCCTTATAGGCTAACACCTCAGCACACCTGTTTGACAATAATCTCATGATTACCTTAGAATGAAACATGATTATAAAGGATTATCACAAATCAAAATAACATTAAAAATATAAGAACAAATTTATATACAATCATCAGTTGCAGAATTTTTTTTTTTTAAAATATTCCTTTCTAAATTATAGGGGTGTGTTATATGGAGGGAAATACATTATTTCTTATTTGAAGAAAGCTAAAAAGAATTATGAAAAAAGAAAATGAAAGGTGTTCTACAGAGTCGTCATGGGTAATTAAACTGTACTTTTAGACATAAGGACTTAATATGGCTATAAACTAAGTGATCCTAAGTGCAGGTTTCAGTCCTTAAGCAAACACTGAAGTACATACCAAAGATATCATTTCATGAAACGAATATCATTGCCAGTAGATTTTTAATTATGAGCATGATGTCTATGCAGAACCTAACAAGGATAATGCACTACAGTAGCTCAATGGAGTTATTTGTTTATAGCCAATAATTCTTCTTTACAGAGTATTATAAATGTCTTAAGTTACTAATGGGTGAAGCCATTTTATCTGTTTCCCTTCTCCAAAGCAAAGATATAGTAACAAGTTGCAAAATATCACTGTAAAAAAAAATTAAAATTAAACTCCTACCAGAAGACTAACAGAAGTTCACACTAATGCCTTAACAGAAGGATATACAGAGTGCATCTGATATACCTCCCACATAATGGTAAGTCATTAGCTAAATGAAGATACCATTGCCACTAATGTGTTTCCATTATGTGGGAGGTATGTGAACTTATGTGGTTATGATGCATCCTGTATAAAAAAAATTCTGCCCAATTTTCTGAAACCATTCACATATCACAACCTGGAAGAAATAAAACCACTGAACAAATGAAATTGTTTAATGTACAAAAAAATTGAAATATTAAAAAATAATAAAGAAATTACCAAATGCATGTAGGCCTTTTTTTTTTTTTATAAGTGTGGTCAAATTTCTCAAGTATACTATTTTTACAAATGTCAAAATTCTTCTGTCCATAACATACACACACATATAACCAAACAAATTCATTTACACATGTGTTTAATTTTGTGATAAGTTGGGACTGTAAAAGTCCCTATGGCTAACTGTAACCAAGAGAAATGCAAAGAAAAAATCTAAGTGCTGCTGTCTTTCAAAACTGACCCCTCAAAAATGTTTTACAAGTAATAAGGTCAGTGTAAAGAAAGCTCCCTCACCCTCAGAGTGATTTTTTCCTTTGCTCAGTGTCATGATGGTAACTAACTAACCTAGTAGGATAGGTTCTTTGATCTTCTCTTGTACAGGTGTTGGAATGTTGTGTGTAGGCAGGCTGGCTGCATGAAGTGTACCTCAATGTGTCATATGTTGGTGGACCAGCATTTACACAAATCTATTCAATTCACTAAGATCTCTTTTCTAACATGTCAAAAGTACATCTTTTTATTTATAGTTTTATCACCTTTCTTTATCTTGGGTACATTTTGTACCTAATCTCATAATCATTCAAAGATATATACCAACATTGTTGTGACCAACTTGAGCATCTTATGTGTAAATGTATGTGAAGAAACACACACATTTTGAAGTTACTATATAAACACTGTATATGTTATTTTTAATCTTGGTACCTGATGGAGAATAAAGATTAATAAACTAATTCTTGTAAGTCATTGCTAGTGACTTTACTACCTTATTATTGTGACCATATGTAAAAATGGGTTAAACTTTAAATCACCTAAGTATGAAATTTAAAGTAATAAAAAAAATATGGTAAGTTGAAAATAATTTAGATATTTATTAAGACTCACATGTACAGGCCAGTAGACATAAATTAACACTTTAAAAACAAACAGCAGTCAATTCCAACATGTGTCCATTAAATATAATTATTAAAGAAATATTAAATTACAAATAAAATCCATTAATTCCTTAGAAATTAACCATTTCATTAATACCAGTTTACTGATAGAAATGATGGAAATATTTAAGTAATTCTGCAATTGCATTGTACTTGTAAATTATCAAAAACTATGTTGTAACACATCTATTTGATTTTGTTCAATACTTCCTGAATATTAAACTAAGCAAATAATATTCTACTCAACCATAAATAATTATGGAGTTTTACTTATCAAGTTTAATATAAATTATATTTTTACTACTATACCACTACATAATGATGGATGACAATGTCATCAGTAGGGCCCATTACATAAAGATATACAAAATTGCTCACTATATAATGAATTCTTTTGGTGACACAAACTTACATATAACTGTCTGAAGTTTATATTTTTGTTCAAGTACTTTCAACCATCTCTAGTCATTATCTAAACATTAAAAGGGTATCAGTTATATTAGAGAAAAAATATATTATCTTCATGCCAGAATAAAAAGAAAAAATTTTATATATATATATATATATATATATGTTATAATTCTAATTTTAATTGAATACAAGCAACAACAGTTTAGTCCATCCCTGATATATGTCAGAGAAGGACATTTAAATTTTTTTTAAAAATCTGAGTCATCACAAAAATTGTCAGCACTTAAAAACAAAGATTACTACAGATTTAAAAAATATCTTTAAAAATTCATCCCTGTGGTGAAAGATATTGTGCTTAATGTATGTTGGTTCTTTTATATAAGAATAGATTCAAGTATTTTGTACTTTTTTTTACAGTGAGTGCTATATAGTATTTTCTATTAATATTTGTTTTATGCTAATTAGCCATATTACAATTTCTTATGAGATGTTGATCAATATGCAAAAAGTTGAGGGTAAGGTTATGTGACCAATATAAGAATTAAAAAGTTAAAAGCAAATCCATTCAGAAGAAAAGAGAGAGACACTTCTTTTCCTCATAAGGAACTTTCTTTTTTCTTTAATGTTAAAACCTTCCCACAGATCCATTAATCATACATACCAACTTTAAGGATTGTACATGAAATAGTTTGGCTGTTTGATCATCTTGTGGGTTTATTTTACTGAATGCCGACTTGCATTGTCAATTCAAATACAAGCTTTCTTTCAAAATTTTTTTTTTTTTTTTTTTAGAGGAATTCTTACCCCTCATTCATTTTTGATAAATACTTACTGTGATTGTCTTGTTTTCTAAGATCTTATATACAAAATCTCCCATATTCTATAATCTGTTCAACAACATTTTACAAAGGAAGGATTGTGTTTGTTTTTAGCTAGAATCCCCAATTTGCCCAACAAGAAACAGAATTAGTTTTATAATATTTTATCATTACTAATACTGATTATAGTATTGATAAATAAAATTAATTTTTGTTACAGATGAACAGGTTTTTATTTCCTATTGAAAATGTTACCTTTTTTTCAAATACACAAGAATTATTTAGAATCTCATGAAAATAATCCCAGGCAAACAAACACAATAATCCTGGAAAGTGTAGAGTCAATCATTTAATAACTGTTTGATCACCAGGATAAAGAAAATATGGAAATACTCATTATTAAAGAGGTTTTTTTTTTGTAAGACATCTGTATTAAGTAGACTCAGATATTTTTTTTTTATTTTAAAAACATACTGCAATAATCTTCTTTAAAAATTTAAGTGAAAGAAAATAGCATAAATAAAAATTAAGTTGATTAATTATAAAGAGTTTAAAGTAAATAATAAATAATTAAGAATATTAATTTGGTTTCAAAGTTTTAAATCTCAGGATAACTTTGCTATTGCTAATTAAAACTGAAATCATTAAAATAATATAACATCAAGATATTTAGAGTTGACTACCTTCGACTGTGAATGTACTTCCCTAGCTTTTATTTTGATTAAAGTTTTACAACAATTAAAGTACTTTTTTCTTTGTTTAAATCTCCCACAAAGATTAAATTTTATTTTTATTTTAAAATGGAAGGGAGGAGGAGGATTATTAATTGAATGATAATCATACAAACCTACTGTAATTATTTTTATGCTTTCCTACTACAAATGCATAATTATAAACAAAATTTGAAACTGCTTAATTTTTGTCCATGCTATTTAAAAGGGTTCAACTCTGTTAATTGACTCAAGTGAAGCTTGTTCAAAGAATGACCTTACCTTTACAAAGAGATAATCCAAAGTATTCAGTTTCTCTTAGGCCCAGGTGAATAACGACAGCATTGAAAACTTCATGAAATTTTGACTTTACCTGAAATTCAAAAGAAACTGACAGATTAATCTTAAACTTAGATAAAATGTAAAAATATCTCCAGATGCATTTTCTTTTTTAATATATTGTTCTCACAACATTTTGGCTGATCCATTTTGTGGCCTACAAGTGTACTTCACATAGTTATTATAATAATAAATTTCCATAATAAGACAGCATCATGAACAGTCTGTGAAAAAAATATTGCAGCAAGAGTAAGAAAAGAATGTAAAGCATGACAGTAGCAGTAGTTAGATTAGGTGTTCAAGTTCTAGACTCCAGATTGTCCCACAGGAAAAGAGTCTGGTAGATTAAAGCATTGGTAGATAAAATTATTTGGCATAGTAATTGTGAGTTCAATGGGTCAGGTAGTGCAGACTTAGAGTTAGTGGAATCAGGGCAAGCAATAACTGAGCAAGTCTAAATAAAAATGAGATATTCATAGACATGGACAACAGAACAAAAACAATCTACCTCCAAGAGTTCAGGCTGAAATTTCCTGAAGGTTATCCTGATCAATTGACATCAGAAGAAGGTCTGAGGGTACAACAGCCAAAATGTTGTCATAACAAAGAGGACATTACACCAAATGTAAATAAGAAAATGGCCGATTATTATGTTGCATAAATAATTTACAAATTTTCAATATTTATAAAAAAAAATTATAAACTGAACCAGCACAAGTTACAAACTCGTTTAAAAAATTGCTGAAACAAATTTTAAGTCAACAATCGTAAAAGTTGATGCTCAATTATTCATTTTTTTTCTTCTTTCCTGTTATTGCTAGAAATATTTAATTTATTACTGCAGAAATTTAGTAAAGTATAGAATAGTGGTAACACTGTAAAATTTTTCAAAATAATGCCAAGCCTCTTCAGGATGTAGGCATGCATGACTCTACAAATTATTTTCTGTATTATCTGTGAATTACTATGCATTCTTGGGTAAGATAGTGGAGTGGTTTCCCATTGCCTCCTCCATGGTTTAGGATTCAGAATTTTCCTTCTCTTAGGCTGGTTGCTACCCAAGGCTAGAGAACCCAGTGTACATTGTTACTTAACTAATAACTAAGTAGTGAAGAGGCAAATTCATACCTTTTGCAAAAGCATTAAAGTAAAGACAACAAACTAGACCAGAAATTGAACTTGGCTTCCAAATTCCACTTTCCAGTGCCAATAACTGTTACACTAACCACATATCCCCTACTTATGTACTGGGTCCCAATGCAGCCGGTGTTGAAATACAGTTGTGATTCATGTTTCATTACACCCCCCCTACCCACCACCATCTTTCCTTCCTCGCCATCAGAATTGTGTCACTATGCATCAACAGAAACAATAAAAGCTTTGATACATTTGTTTAATGACTCCTAATTGTATACTCTTGTATTACTATCAAAGATTACATAAACAGCTCATAATAATTATCATCATCATAGTAATAATAATAACTGGCTAGACCCATAGAAATTCTATGGTTGACATGTTGACACGTTGTCTTTACATAAATTGTAAGCATTCATTAAATACCCATAGTCATATATTGCATATCACATTGTAATAATTTTTTCAAATAGGTTTTTATGACATCTATTTTCTCTTAATCATGTGGAAACTCCATGGGTTTTTGTTAATTTTTATTACTGAAACTAATCATTTCGGGCTGGCATATTTCATATTAAGCAGCAGTTAAACACAGGAGGGCATTATTACTTCCTCTATTTTACCATTCTTTCTTTGTAGAAACCCATATATACAGCTTCAATGTACCCCCAGAATGAGGCTAGCTGGAAATTAAAAAATAAATAAAAAGTTTAGAGATTTAATCTGTCCACTGCTGCTATACAAAGAATTTAAGAGCAGGGGACAGGTAAGCTAAATTTGCGGGCAGGGGATAGGTAAGCTAAATTTGTGGGCAGGGGACAGGTAAGCTATTACAGTGATTATTGTACATGATAAATAACTAATGAAGAAAGGATTCTATATAAATCAATTGTCAGCATAAATATGTCTATTTCAGAAAAATAGATTTTGTAATTGGTAAATTTTTGAAAATGCAAGTTTCCATGAAGTAAACTATATCTTAGCATTTTGCTATAAGAAATGATAGAAAACTGTTGACAGGATCATACCCAGATGGTATTTCTAAATCAAATATATTTACCTTTTATAAATCAGAGGAAAGAGAGAATGAAAGAAAAAGATTTAAAAAAAAAAAAAAATCAAGCTGTAAGGTTTTATGTACCAACTCTAAAGCTGAACTGACATTACCCTTATAAATATAGAAACATTAAGAACATCAGGCATACTTACATCAACTGGAACTCTGATCTCTTCCCCACTGAGCAGCCTCACCTGCACGACCTTTTTCTTCTTGGGAGAGATACTGACGGCCAACATTGTGCAGCCACTGAGCCCACACCCAAATTCTATTCATTATACACATTACATTGCATACCTAGAATATAAGAGAAAACAACTATCATTAGAAAGCATCAGTTATTATAATTAGCACTAGAGTGTTATGACTGTATTTTAATGTTGATCATATCTAATTTAGCCATTTTTGGTCATCCATACTTCAGCTGTCTCATGAAACACTTGTTAATTTAATCAGATTTTTTATCACTTGAGTAAGGAAAGCTGACATATTTGACCTCTGAACTGAGCTGACAAGTAACAGACACCTGCTATAAACAAATGTATTTTTCACTATATTTTAAGTAAAAGGTATTTTTTTTCAAAATACATTTAAGTAATCCTTAGAGTAACTGGTAACCTAATTTTGGAAGATTTGTAAAATTTTCAGTCAGTTATAGTAAGTTAAATTTAGATGACAAAAATTGACATTAAAACAATCTAAAACCTGTTTTAAGTATAAAAAGTAATTTTTTAATGACACATTTTCTTGCAATTAAAACCAAAATTAAAACTTCAAGATATACCCAAAACCATTTTATGTGGCCATAATTTGGAGTCATGTATATAAAATATGAAAACATGTATCTGGTCTACACTCTTACATGCAAGCAAAAACATAGCATGATATGACTTATTCATAATAAAAAAATAGACTGGCTTAACTGCACACATAAAAGGCCACTCCGAAAATAATGACTCTTATTTTATTATGTTTGTCCACTTCATTAGAGGCAATGCTAGCAATAAACCACAAATACTTTTTTTGGTCTTGTCACAAACAATGACAATCTTGCCAAACTGTTCTGTATCAAGAGAGAACTTATTAAAAAAAAATTCATCTTTCTCAAGCTATGAAATATTTGGGCAGTGAGAAAGTGTCAAAATCTCAACCAGAAGAAGGCTGGAGCATACAACAGCCGAAACGTGATAGATATGGCGAAAAAGATGAGGACAATACTCCGAATAATGTAAATAATGTACATAATACCTCATCTCAGAAATATAGACAGACCCAAAAAAATAGAGCAAAGATTGGATGGCTACTGGCAGAAACTACCCTCACAAATTCAGATGTTAAAGCCGAGCTAGCATGATGCTTTGTGGTGGAATTATAAATAGTGAAGTAGTGTGAGTAGAGTAGAGAGTTCCAAATTGTGTTAAGATGGTAGCTCAGACAGATGTTGATTTTTTTTTTAAGGCATAGGTGGAGCCATGATTCAAAAAAACTAAAGAAAAATAATTTTTATGCATGACAATGCTCCATCATATTCAGTAAAGGAAACTAATGAATATTTAAATAAAATAGTTTTCAAAGTTACTAATTTGATGAAATAGCTGTCTTTTTTTGTTAGACCTTAACCAAATTGAACATTTAGAGTTCTAAAGAGGAAGGTTTTCATTGGTAGACAGCAATTTAACAAAGAGGAAATTTGAAAAGCTATTCCGGATGCTGTGCAATTTGTTCTATACAAAAAATACAACAGCTCACAAAAATCAATATATGGACAACTTAAAAAAAAAAAAAATTCAGAAAATGAAGCAACAATTTCTCAGTGTGTGTGCATATATATATATATATATATATATATATATATATATATATACTTACATACACTTTGATATTACTTTTGTGAATCTTGTTTTCTTAAGATCTGCCATTCAACATATACCATTTTTCCAACAATCAGGTTTCCATTATTATTCTGAATTGTGACTAGGATATTCTTTTATCTTAAATTTTAGTTGCATCTTATTGCAATTTACTCTAGCTATTAGTATGCGTCAGTAAGCAAACAGCATAAATTGGAAAGTTCCTGGTGAGACAATTATCTGATAGTGTTTCATATAAGATAATACTGCTGCCATCAATATTACTCCTAAAATCATACATGCTTTTTCAACTTGTACACTTGTAAGGATACCTCATGTCATAAAAATTAGCAATTTTCACTTACTGATCATTTATAATGAGTTCAATCCTCATTGGGTATCCCATTAATATGTACTTGTGCCAAAACCAAGCTAAGTACTAACACATTATGTACTTGTAAAAATAAAATCCTTATGTTACAAAACTACAAATATTATAAAATTCTTTTAATACAAGATGTTTTAGCCTTGGCATTCTCAAACAATCTGTTTATTAGCAGATTCTGAGTTTAGCTAGTGTGGATTTTTACTTTTAGCCAGTTTTATTTATTTCAGCTCATATTGCAGAATGTCAGGGTCACTGCTTGTAAGATGTAAGTAAATAAAGTATACTAAGCAACCGTTTTGCAAAGGTCAAACCTGTGTTGGAGAAAAATATGACTAAGAACTGCATGCAATTGTGGAAAGGAATGCATCTGCCATGCACTTGAAAGGAATGACTTGAGTAGCACAAAAGTACTGAAATTCCTAGCAAAACTATTAAATCAAACATAGCAGATCGGATATGGACAGAAAAGGGTGTATACCACCTCTTCTGGTAAGATAAAATTATAGACAGGGAATCATGCTGAAAAGTATGCAAAATGGAAGAGATGGCAAGTATATTTTCATCAGAAAATATAACAAGGTGATAAGTGCATGATGAATCTAATTCTGAAATAAACATTGAAATTAAATGGTGAGGAGATGAAAGCTAATCCAATGAGTTCTTTCTCCATTCTTATTTTCTATAGAATCAACATATCAATTTATATTCTGTTCATTCACATTAAATAGTATAGTAACATTTAAAAAAAAAAAAAAAAAAAAAAAAATACTATGGATTATTACTTCTGAGATCAAAGTATCTTTAGCATCCTGATCATAGCTCTACCTGTCTTTTGCTACATTCAATACTGTCTTCTTTATAACCCATCTTTCTTTGTGGTACTTATACCTTCATCTATTTGAACAACTTTTCAAGTAGGTTATTTGAAGTTTTCTACTTTTACCTTTTGAGAAGTTCTGTGAATATTAAATTCACCAAGTCTTCTTTCTTCATTGTGTTCCCAAAACTTTCAGTTGTTATCAATAATTTCCCTCCTGTTCTGATTCTCCTTAGAATTTTATTTATTGTATGCTCAGTCCATGTTATTCTCAGCATGTTGGAAGAACCATATTTTAGCTTCAATTGAAATTTTTCAACTATCAGTACCAGAGAGGAGATTGGACATTAAATGTGAGTTCAGTACTCTTTCCTTCATGTTTTTTTTTTAAATTATCCTTTCATCCCAAGACAATAATGCCATTAAGACACAAGGGGTTACTGGGAATAGAAGAAAATGAGGAAAATTTAATGGGGAAAAATAAAGGAACAAGATTCAGGAAGATAAAAGTTGACAGTTGACATTGCATTTAAATTTTTGAAGATTGTGGTTGAGAAACAAGAGACTGGAAGAGAGATCCACAAGTGAGAAGTGCAAGAAAAGAAACTATTATAATAGAACTTATGGTTACATCTATTTCAACAGTAAAACAATGAGACCTAATAGCCAATCTAGTAGTATGCTTAAATTCATGTGGTTGAGGCACCAAGGAGATCTCATTAGAACAACTGCCATGAAAATATTTATAATGATAGAGGAAAGCCACATAATGGCATTGGGAAAGTAACTGAAGTTGAGATGCCAGGTCAGGACCAATAACATTACAGACTTTTCTTCAGATTTTGCTGAGAATCTTGAGATATATAGTTGGAGCACTAGACCAGATATGGCAGCAACATTCAATGCATGGACGAATGGTAGATTCATAAATGTGCAAGTTTATTTTTTATTTTTTATTTTAATTCCTTAGTACGTTAGTTTCTAAATTCACAGCTCTTTACTGCACAGAATCAAAGTTCCTCTCACCTGAACAGGATTACTTAAATCAGTAGATAAGCAATTAGGAAATAATTTGTGTATAATAAAAGGTTTCAAAAGGATTAGATCAGTTTTAAAATTCATAACAAGCTTGAACACAACACAAACTCCAGATCTCCAGGAGACAATCTCTTGGTATTTCAGGAAGTGTACTCAAGTATAGAAAACAGTTAAAGAAATCTCACCTAAACAGATGAGATCTTGGCACTTTCAGCTTATAACATATATCAAATAAAAAAAAATACAAGGAGGAGCAGAAAAGTTCATTGCCTGACCCACTTCCTAAAATCTGATTAATATATACTAGTTTTAACCTGTGAAAATTTCCCCATTTGAAATTTCTGATGAATCTTAATTCTTTAGTTAATTTTTGAATAAGCTCCTATGACAATAAAAAATCCCCTATTGCATCATTAAATAGTCGAGCTTAACTTTAACAAAATATTGCAATAGCTATCATAAATATGAATGTTGGTCATTATTTTAAGTGGGTAGAAATGAAAAGATTTGAAATTGACAACTTTTTTTCCCATTTCACTTCTATTTTCCCTTTCTTTCATTTTCTCACTGAAACCAAGTAGTGTCTTTGATACGTCTTCTTATGCAATCAAAACGAAACAGTCTATTATTTATGAGGTATTAGGAGATGTTAAACATTTCTATCTTTCTTTTTTCCTGAAACCAAGTAGCATTTCTGATATGTCTTTTGCCTTTCCAAATGATCAAAGCGGAATAGTCCATTATTTATGAGGCATTAGCAATCGTCATACAAATTAATGAAGGGATGGAGAAAACACAATTATTTAAAACTTCTCTGCCAAACCAAGAATTTTTCAGCACTCTTTTGTACATACTATAATATCACAAAAAGGATCATAAGAAAAAGCTATTCTCACAAATTCATAGAGTTTATTTCAAGTCTTAAAAAATAAAAATAAAAACTTTTGTGTTTAAATGCAGCAGACAGGTTCAAGAAGATAAGACAAAAACTAAAATCAGCCATGAGTGTTACTGAATGTTCAACTAAAAGGCAGGGATTGACACAAATGTGCATGAAGATATATACACACAAACACTTACAAAGATAAAAAGACAGACAGACATATGAAAAGAAAGTGTGAGTGGTTAACAGTCTGACATAGCTGA